TTTATCTGTCACTAGCAGCAGGAGTCCTGAGTCCTAGGCAGGGCCTCAATCCCTCCTCTGTAAAAATGGGGAGTTGGGCTGGGCGTGGTGCCTCACCCCTGGAATCCCAGCACTTTGGGAGGCCAAGGCAGGCAGATCACCTGAGGTCGGGGAGTTCGAGACCAGCCTGACCAACAAGGAGAAACCTCATCTCTACCAAAAATACAAAATTAGCCAGGCGTGGTGGTGCATGCCTTTAATCCCAGCTACTCGGGAAGCTGAGGCAGGAGAATTGCCTGCATCTGGGAGGTGGAGTTTGCAGTGAGCCGAGATCACACCATTGCACCCCAGCCTGGGCAACAAGAGTGAAACTCCATCTCAAAAAATGAACAAACAACAAAAAAAAACGGAGTTAGACTGGATGAGTACTGAGTTGTTTTCCAAGCCTGCAAGTCTGGACTCAGCCCCTCCTGGCCCCCAGGCCCTGTGCAGATCTCCACCTGCCAGAGTGTGAGTCACACTGCACTGTCTCTCTGTCCGTCTCCACTGAGGGCAGAGACTGGGTCAGATTCATTAGCCCAGTGCCTAGCACTTAAACGAGCCAAAAAAAAGTGTTGCTGAATGTCAAATGGTTGAATGACTTTTAGGTCCCAATGGTGTCCACCTGCATTCCTCACCCATCTGCCTCTCTCCAGGAAGCCTGACCTGGAAGACAGCAGGTGCATATTCATCGTCGATGGAGTGCTGCTCCTGCATTGAGGGGCAGTCAGGGCCCTGGCCCAACGTGGCTACCTCCAGCCCAAACAGGGAACGGTTTCCCCGGGGAGAGGCGCCAACCAGGGCCACCTCTAGCTGACAGGTGTCAGCTGTGTGCAGGAGGCGAGGGGGTTGGGCTGGTCGGCTGGATCTGGAAAAGGCCTGGACCTAGGAAGGAAGACACATGGGAGGTGTGGGAAACAGCTGGATGCTGATGCTTAAAGGCTACCTCCATCGTTAAATCCCACCTCCATCGTTAAATCCCACCTCCATCGTTAAATCCCACCTCCATCGTTAAATCCCACCTCCATCGTTAAATCCCACCTTCGTAAATCAGCCTTTTTGAGTTCCTTCTGATTTCCCACCCCTTCCTTACTCTGAAGGCCAGGTTGCCATTGGCAAAAGTCCTGGTAGGGTCGTTCATGGGGTGGCCTTGAAATGTGGCACTCAGGGTGGCAGGATCCAATGAATCAGTGATGTTGTTCCAAGAGAAATCGGCCAAGGAGTATGGAGGATATGGTCTTCCTGGAGGCTCTGCTGCGGTATCGGACACGTTGGTGCTGTCAAACTCAAGCAGCTGGAGGGTGGGGGTGGGGTGGAACTGGGCTCGCCTCCATGTTTCTCCTGAGTCCCCCTGCCCACTCGCCCCCCACCCAGGCTTTCGTATCTATTTCACCCGCCTCCATTCACTTCCACCCTCTAATTGAGATGAACTTTCCCTCTGCCCTCCTCTTGGTTCTCCCCCAACCTCCTCACCCTGGTAAAAACAAGGGCAGAAGAAAACTGAATGCTGTCCACGGGGAGCACCATCAGGCCCCCATCGGGCTCAGGGGATAGCAGGTGGCTCCAGTTGACGCTCAGGGTGCTGTGGGGGGTGTCGGTGGCCACCAGCACCACCGCCGGAGGCCCCAGGCTGCTCCAGACATAGTGCAGCGTGGAGTTGGTGCCCACTGCCCGGATATGAAGCAGGTTCTGCGGGGGGCCCAGCGAGTTGGGGACGACCTCCAAAGACACCTGGAACGTGGAGTAGCGGAGGACTGAGGCAACGGCATCAAGGAGAGACACAGGCAAAAGAGAATCTCGTCGGGGAGGGAGGCTTGGAAAATGCTGGAGAAAGGATGGGACCTTGAGGACTAGACAAGAGGAATGTGTGCGGGAGCTACGGGAATCCTGGGGTAAGGGGCAGTGGGTACAGGATGAAAAGGGGTAGGGTAGGGTAGGGGGTACAACCAGGACTCCCCTGACCCTGGTGGGCAGGTCAGAGCACAAGGCTGAGAAGAAGAAAACATTCAACACTTGCCTGGACCTGGGTCACTCAGGGCTGAGTCTGGGTCCAGACCTCACCCTCACCTTCACCCTACTCCACAATCGCGTCGCATGACCCAAGACCGTCTCCCACACCCTCCGGGTTGAAGAGCCCTCCTCTGGAGCAGCGGCCCTCCGCTCCTAGCCCCTGGATGCCTGGTTCCAGCCACCCTGCAAGGGTGGCATTTCCTGAAACTTCTATCGCTGTGGCCCCAGGGCCCTCACCTGGCGGGTCTCCTCCCCGAGCAAGCCAAATGGGGCTGCAAACAGAAGCAGAGTCAAAAGGAGCAGGGGGCTGGGGGCACAGCGCCCCCAACCCCAGCCGCGCTCAGCAGAGCCGCACATACGGCCGCAATTCAGCCGACGGAAGAGACGCCGGACGGTCACATGACTCGGGTTCAGCTGATCCCTTTCAAGGGCGGAGCCGCCAAACCAGTTTCTTCTTTCTTTTTTGAAGTTCCTTTCCTCAGCACCATTTAATGTCTTTAAAAACAGCTTTGTATTCTATTTTAAAATAGAAAACTTCACAGTCTCTTACGAGTAATACAATGTAATACTGTCACAAGATTTCAAGTGAAAAACATGCAGTATTCATGCTACAAGTTTTCAATCTTCCTTGGACAATGCCAAAAACAGTATTGAGGCCGGGCGCGGTGGCTCATGCCTGTAGTCTCAGCACTTTGGAAGGCCGAGGCGGGCGGATCACGAGGTCAGGAGATGGAGACCATACAAAGACAGGTTAAAGAAAATAAACTCGCAGGGCACGGTGGCTCAAGCCTGTAATCCCAGCACTTTGGGAGGCCGAGGCGGGTGGATCACGAGGTCGAGAGATCGAGACCATCCTGGTCAACATGGTGAAACCCCGTCTTTACTAAAAATACAAAAAATTAGCTGGGCATGGTGGCGCGTGCCTGTAATCCCAGCTACTCAGGAGGCTGAGGCAGGAGAATTGCCTGAACCCAGGAGGCGGAGGTTGTGGTGAACCTAGATCGTGCCATTGCACTCCAGCCTGGGTAACAAGAGCAAAACTCCGTTTTAAAGAAAAGAAAAGAAAAAGAAAAGAAAGAAGGGGCTAAAATTGGTGAAATTTAAAAGGGTTGTGGCAAACTGTGGAGTGTTTGTTTACTTCACTTCACTCTTTTATTTATTTGAGACAGTATCTTGTTCTGTTACCAAGGCTGGAGTGCAGTGGCACAATCAGGGCTCACTGCAGCCTCAAACTCTCAAGCTCAAGTGACCCTCCTGCCCCAGGCTCCCAAGTAGCTGGGACTACAGGCACATGTCACCATGCCTGGCTAATTTTTAAAAAGTTTTTTGCAGAGACGGGGTTACTCTATGTTGCCCAGGCTGGTCTTGAACTCCTAAGCTCAAGTGTTCCTCTCACATGGACTTCCCAAAGTACTGGGATTACAGGGCTGAGCCACCACACCAGCCATCACTCTGATTTTAGAACACAGGACTTGTGTGCAAAGATTAGGATAAAGAACTAAAGATGCCAAAAAATACACCAAACATTAATTACGAAAGAAAGACTATCCTAATGTTTATGAAGAGCTTATAACATGGAAAAATATTTGTCATAAAATTAAAGGAAAAAGTAGGATACAAAACTATAGAAACAGTAAGATCCCAACTATGTAAAAAAAAGGCTAAAAGGAAATGGATCAAGATGCTAATAGTGATTATTTAAGTAGTGTATGTATAGTGATATTTTTTCTTCCCTTTTACTTTTCTGTCTCTTCCAAATTTTTCTCTTCTACTGGAGGAGTTTTTGTTGCTGTTGTTGTTGTTGTTGTTGTCTGGTTTTGAGATGGAGTCTCACTCTGTCACTGAGGGTGGAGTGCAGTGGCATGATCTCGGCTCACTGCAACCACTGCCTCCTGAGTTCAAGGGATTCTCCTGCCTCAGCCTCCCAGAGTATCTGAGATTACAGGCATGTACCACCACACCTGGCTAAGTTTTATATTTTTAGTAGAGATAGGGTTTCACCATTGTTGGAAAAGATGCTCTGTGCTGCAAAGAAAAATCAGCACTGAGACAAAGGATCTCTCAGAAAAGCAGTTTTTATTCCCTGCACTGCAGAAAGGGTACCCTCGCTAGCCATCTTGCCACGAGAGTACAATGAACAATGGAAAAGCAGACATATTTATCCCTTACGCATTTGGGGTTTTTCTTACTGCTGTGTGTATGATCTCCATTGGTTGGAGCCAGATCTCACAATCTAAACTAAAACTTGATTGGCTAATAACTTAAAACTTTTTTAAACAGGTAAGGGTCATAGGCTGTGAGCTGGGACATGCCTGTGAGCACATCCAGCACAGATATTTTGGTTAAAGTACAAGGACATAGAATATACTACGTGCCTGTAAGCATAGCATGTCTAACAGCTACATAGGATAGGGCTTAACAAAGAGTTATTAGCAAATTTATTCTTTAACAAGAAAGGAAACTCTGTGTGTGTGTGTTTTTTTTTTTTTTTTTTTGAGACAGAGTTTCACTCTTGTTACCCAGGCTGGAGTGCAATGGCGTGATCTCGGCTCACCGCAACCTCCGCCTCCTGGGCTCAGGCAATTCTTCTGCCTCAGCCTCCTGAGTAGCTAGGATTACAGGCACACGCAACCATGCCCAGCTAATTTTTTGTATTTTTAGTAGAGACGGGGTTTCACCATGTTGACCAGGATGGTCTCGATCTCTTGACCTCGTGATCCACCTGCCTCGGCCTCCCAAAGTGCTGGGATTACAGGCTTGAGCCACCGCGCCCGGCGAAAGGAAACTCTGAAGAGGAAATTTACATCCCCTGTTGGCCAGGCTGGTCTCAAACTCCTGATCTCATGTGATCCTCCCTCCTCAGCCTCCCCAAAATGCTGGGATTGCAGGCATGAGCTACCTCACCTGGCCCTGTAAGGATCTGTACATTTATAAAACGATGAAACATTCCAGGCTACTCCACGAATCCACTGTTAAGAGTGACTCACCAGAGCTCCGGAGAGCTTCAGTCTCTCTTCTAGCCAGGTGAAGGTGTCACTGGATCCTGCCTGATGAAAAATGCTGAACCAATCGGAAATGTCATAGATTTACAAAGAGAAGCAGAAATACCACATTTTTCAAAAATGTATTTGCAGTATATAGCCTGTTAATATTAGAATGAAACATGAGAATATTCTCTTAGTTTCTTTGCAGATGTCAAGTTGCGAAAAGGCTATTATTTATCACAGCTGTATAAAGCCAGTCTTAGTTTAGAAACAGAAACAAAACAGCACTGCAACAGTAGACTGAGAAAAGCATGTGACTTACAAAATTATAAAAAGAGCTTCCTATAAAAATGATTCCCAGGCTGGGTACGGTAGCTTATGCCTGTTATCTCAGCCCTTCAGGAGGTCGAGGTGGGCAGATCACCTGAGGTGAGGAGTTAGAGACCAGCCTGGCCAACATGGCGAAACCCCATCTCTACTAAAAATACAAAAAAAATTAGCTGGGCGTGGTGGCACACGCCTGTAGTCCCAGCTACTCCGGAGGCTGAGGCAAGAGAATTGCTTGAACCCAGGAGGTGGAGGTTGCAGTGAGCCGAGATCATACCACTGCACTCCAGCTTGGCGACAGTGCGACACTCCATCTCAAAAAAAACTAGCTGGTCATGGTGTCGGGTGCCTGTAGTCCCAGCTACTCAGGAAACTGAGGGAGGAGAATCGTTTCAACCCAGGTGGCAGAGGTTGCAACGAGCCAACATTGCCCCATTGCACTCCAGCCTGGGTGACAGGTGAGTCTCCATTGAAAAAAATTTAAAAAAAAGATTCCCTTTAAGACATTTGTTTATTGTACATATTTTAAGGCTGCCCACCACCCCCCAACGAAAAAGGCAAAATCTCTAAGCACTTTCTACCAAAGCATCTATTGGTTTGTTCATCTGGCAAACACTGACTGAAGGCTCATAAGATGCCAGACACTCGGGTCTCAAAGATGAAGAAGACTCATCCCTGTCACAAGGATGCCTCAGTCTTCTCAAAGCAGGAGGCAGACACATCACCAACCACAGTACATCAATTAAAAACAGATGCTGAGGCCGGGCGCAGTGGCTCAAGCCACCGGGGTTTTACCTTGTTGGTTAGGCTGGTCTCAAACCCCTGACCTCTGGTGATCCACCCACCTCACCCTCCCAAAGTGTTGGGATTATAGGTGTGAGCCATCATGCCTGACCAAGACTGAAGATTTTTTTTCTTCTTTGTCTTTTTTTTTTTTTTAAGAAGACTGAAGATTTTTAATTGAGACTTTCACTCTTTCATCTTAGCTTTTGATGGTACTGACATGTCTTGATGTAGATATAGGACTGGTCATGTATTCTTGATTTCAAAGTGTCTCATTCTTGGAGTAAAATAGGCCCCATTGCTTAAAAGAAAGTTAACTGACTGAACTAGGCATTGTGATGTTTAGGGACAAGCATGATAAAATGTAATTTAATGTCTGCTCATTCTAGAAGTATTTATTAGAAGGTAGTTGCATTTTTGCATCCTAATAAGTCAGGAAAGTTTCTGCATAAGGAGGCTTGTAGAAGTAATTCAGTGAGAATTGCAACATATGGTTTAATTGTAAGAAAGCAGTGGCATCTGTTTTTTTTTGAGACGGAGTTTCGCTCTTCTTACCCAGGCTGGAGTGCAGTGGCACAATCTCGGCTCACCGCAACCTCCGCCTCCTGGGTTCAGGCAATTCTCCTGCCTCAGCCTCCTGAGTACCTGAGTAGCTGGGATTACAGGCACGCGCCACCATGCCCAGCTAATTCTTTGTATTTTTTTTTTTTTTTTTTTTTTTTTTTGAGACGGAGTTTCGCTCTTGTTACCCAGGCTGGAGTGCAATGGCGTGATCTCGGCTCACCGCAACCTCCGCCTCCTGGGTTCAGGCAATTCTCCTGCCTCAGCCTCCTGAGTAGCTGGGATTACAGGCACGCGCCACCATGTCCAGCTAATTTTTTGTATTTTTAGTAGAGACGGGGTTTCACAATGTTGACCAGGTTGGTCTCAATCTCTTTACCTCGTGATCCACCCGCCTTGGCCTCCCAAAGTGCTGGGATTACAGGCTTGAGCCACCACGCCCAGCAATTTTTTGTATTTTTAGTAGAGATGGGGTTTTGCCATGTTGGCCAGGCTGGTCTTGAACTCCTGACCTCAGTCTCCTAAAGTGCTGGGATTACAGGTGTGAGCCATGGCACTTGGCTGTCCGTTTTCACTGTACTCCTGCGTCAGTCGCTCCAGGTCTTTCAAGCACATTTGGGTGGTCTTCCAGATCGTCATAGAGTGGATGATGTCCAGTCTCCTGTAATTCTCAGGCTTGACTAGGCCTTGGACAACCTGGAGGCATCGCTGTTTCAGGGTATACGCTGGCAGTGTGAGATTGGCAAAACAGGCTGTCCATCAACACTGGAAGATGGCACGAACAATTCAGTTTGGTTAACCAGAAGCCTATTGCGTGTCCTTAAATCCCTGAAGAGCCAAAGTGGCTTCGAAGCTGTGGATGAGAAAGTCCCTGCTGGGCAGCAGCGTCGAGTAGGGCTGTGGCTTGCCATAGCAGTTGAGCCACAGGCAGCATGACCCGAGGGCTGCAGTTGCAGAAGATGACCTGGGTGAGCTTGTGCGAGTTCACCGAGCGCAGCACAGGCCATGCCGCCCCCGCGTCCATCTCCTCCTCGGCACCTCCTGGCAGTCCTCTTCTGGGCCTGCCTCCTGGGTGCCCGCCTTGGCCTCTAACCCCACCCCTTTTCTCACCCTCTGGGGCATTACCTTCAGAGCCTTGACAACTTGGGTCTAACCATATCAGTTCTTTCTGAGACGGAATTTTGCTCTTGTTGCTCAGGCTGGAGTGCAATGGCGCGATCTTGGCTCACTGCAACCTCTGTCTCCTGGGCTCGAGTGATTCGCCTGCCTCAGCCTCCTGAGTAGCTGGAATTACAGGCATGAGCCATCATACGCGGCTAATTTTGTATTTTTAGTAGAGATGTAGTTTCTCCATGTTAGTCTGGCTGGTCTCGAACTCCCGATCTCTGGTGATCCGCCCATTTCTGCCTCCCAAATTGCTGGGATTACAGGTGTAGCCACCACGCCCAGCCCCGTACCCGTTTACTTAAAGAGACTACTTCCCTTCACGTGGATTTGGCAAGAGTTAGAATGGAATAAAAAAGGCCAGGAGTATATAATCTTCTATCTGGGTGGCAAGCAAGACATCCTGGATCAGACAGACTTACTCCCAGCCTGTCCTACTTAGTTCATCCCACTGAAGAGCTACCTATAGTGAGATATCCAAATGGAATCCCAATAATGTAACTGTGATAGGAAGATCCAGAGAGGAATTTGAGAGTATTCCATGAGTTAGCACATCTGAGGGCTATGTCAATCTAATATTGATTGAACACTTTGTGGCTGGGTGCAGTGGCTCACACCTGTAATCCCATCACTTTGGGAGGCCAAGGCGGGTGGATCACCTGAGGTCAGGAGTTCAAGACCAGCCTGGCCAACATGGTGAAACCCCATCTCTACTAAATATATAAAAAATTAGCTGGGTGTGGTGGCAGGCACCTGTAATCCCAGCTACTCGGGAGGCTGAGTCAGGAGAATCACTTGAACCCAGCAGGTGGAGGTTGCAGTGAGCCGAGATCACACCATTGCACTCCAGACTGCATTTCAAAACAAAAACAAAAACAAAACGTAATATTAATTGAACACTTTGCTATTCGGGTTCTGGTTCAGAAAGATTTCACAATTTATCTATTTATTATGTTTATTTTGAGACAGTCTCACTCTGTCACCAGGCACCAGGCTGGAGTGCAGTGGCATGATCTCGGCTCACTGCAACCTCCGCCTCCTGGGTTCAAGCAATTCTCCTGCCTCAGCTTCCCAAGTAGCTGGGGCTACAGGCGTGCACCACCATGCCCAGCTAATTTTTTTGTATTTTTAGTGGAGATGGGGTTTCACCATGTTGGCCAGGATGGTCTCGATCTCTTGACCTCATGATCCACCTGCCTCGGCCGCCCAAAGTGCTGAGATTACAGGTGTGAGCCACCATGCCCGGCCTTATTTATTTTTAAAAGGAGTCTCACTCTGTCACTAGGCTGGAGTGCAGTGGTGTGATCTCAGCTCACTGTAACCTCTGCCTCCTGGATTCAAGTGATTCTCCTGCCTCAGCTTCCTGAGTAGCTGGGATTACGGGTGTGTGCCACCACACCCTGCTAACTGTTGTATTTTTAGTAGAGAAGGGGTTTCACCATGTTGACCAGGATGGTCTCGATCTCTTGACCTCATGATCCGCCTGCCTTGGCCTCCCAAAGTGCTGGGGATTACAGGCATGAGCCACCGTGCCCAGCTGAGTACACAATTTTATTGTGGAGAAAAGTTAGGATATGAGAAAATGGGATATGGGGCAATACAAGTATTTGTCAAAAGGAGGTGACACCTGGTGGGATGCATTTTTTTCCTTTTTCTTTAATCTTTATGTTTTGAGGCAGAGTCTTGCTCTGTTGCCTGGGCTGGAGTGCAGTGGTGTGATCTTGGCTCACTACAAGCTCCACCTGCTGGGTTCAAGCAATTCTCCTGCCTCAGCTTCCCAAGTAGCTAGGACTACAGGTGCCCGCCACTAGACCCAGCTAATTTTTTTTTTTTTTCAGAGAGGGAGTCTTGCTCTGTTGCCCAGGCTGGAGTGCAGTGGTGCAATCTCAGCTCACTGCAACCTCCACCTCCTGGGTTCAAGTGATTCTCCTGCCTCAGCCTCCAGAGTAGCTGGGATTACAGGTGCCAGCCATTATGCCCAGCTAATTTTTTGTATTTTTAGTAGAGACAGGGTTTTGCCATGTTGGCCTGGTCTCGATCTCCTGATCTCATGATTCACTTGCCTCTGCCTCTCAAAGTGTTGGGATTACAGGTGTGAGCCACTGTGCCCAGCAATTTTTGTATTTTTGTATTTTTTTTTTTTTTTTGAGATGGAGTTTCGCTCTTGTTACCCAGGCTGGAGTGCAATGGCTCGATCTTGGCTCACCACAACCTCCGCCTCCTGGGTTCAGGCAATTCTCCTGCCTCAGCCTCCTGAGTAGCTGGGATTACAGGCAGGCACCACCATGCCCAGCTAATTTTTTGTATTTTTAGTAGAGACGGGGGTTTCACCATGTTGACCAGGATGGTCTCAATCTCCTGACCTCGTGATTCACCCGCCTCGGCCTCCCAAAGTGCTGGGATTACAGGCATGAGCCACTGCGCCCGGCAATTTTTGTATTTTTAAAGTAGAGATGGGGTTTCACCATGTTGGCCAGGCTGGTCTCAAACTCCTGACCTCAAGTTATCTGCCCGCTGTGGGTTCCCGAAGTGCTGGGATTACAGGCAAAAGCCACCACATCTGGCCTACTTTAATCTTGTTTTGACTAATAAATGCACATGGTACAAAATTAAAAAGGTACCAAAGGGCTCAGTGTGATATCTTATGCCTGTAATCCCAGCACTTTGGGAGGCTGAGGTGGGAGGATGTCTTGAGCCCAGGAGTTCAGGACCAGCTTAGGCAACATAGCCTAACCCCATCTCTACAAAGTAATACAAAAATTAGCCAGGTGTGGTGGTGCATGACTGCGGTCCCAGCTACTCTGGAGGCTGAAATGAGAGGATCCCTTAATCCGCCCATTGCACCACTGCACTCCAGCCTGGGCAATAAAGTGAGGATAGCAACAGGAGGCAGAAATCTAGGCAGACAGGAGTGGTTCTTGATGAAACCTCACTTTCAAGCTGAAAACAGCTGAGAGCCAAGCTACAAGTCCTGGGTAAATGCAAGGGTGGGACTGAGAACCCCTCTTCCTGTTTGTTAAACTCTCCTCTGATTGATCACCACCCTTCACCTGTTTTACATATATGTACCTTTCCCTAACTGGTTTGTTACACTGTCATGACCACCTTTGAGTGGGGCCATTGTTTTAGCCTTTTTTGTATACTCACAGACCAACCAGTGAGCGAGAGTGGACACACACACACACACACACAAATTTTGAACCCATAAAAGCCCCAGACTCAGCCACAATGGGAGAGAGACCACCTAACTTGGGAGACTACCCTCCTGTCCCCTCTTGGCTGAGTTGTTTTGTCACTCAATAAAATTCTCTTCCACCCTCTTCACCCTTCGAACTGTCAGCATAATCTCATTCTTCTTGGATGCATGACAAGAACTCGGAACTGCTGAACGTGGGTACAAGCAAAAACACAGGCAGCCTGGGGCATGCCCCAGCCCAGACAAGGGCAGAGCCAGTGTGCAAGCCAGGTGTGGCCAGGTGGGAGGAATGGGCAGGGCACCTCCAGCAGCAGGCCAGGGGCTCCAGGCCTGGCTGGCAAAGTGGCTGAGAAAAATCCTGTCACTGAGACCCAGTTGTTTAAAAAAAAAAAAAAAAAAAAATGTACCCAAGGCATCATTTCTATTCACTGGCAAACTGGTCCCTCCTGAGACAACCATCACTACCAGTTTCTTATGTACCCTTCTAAAGATATCCTATGAGAATATAAATATAAACAAATTACATATAAGTAATATACAGTGGCACCCAAACACTGTTCTTCAGTTGTTGCTTTTTTTCTTTTTTGAGATACTGTCGCACCCAGGCTGGAGTGCAGTGGCAAGATCTAGGCTCACTACAACCTCCAGCTCCTGGGCTCAAGCAATTCTCCTGCCTCAGCCACCCATATAGTTGGGATTATAGGTGTGTGCTGCCATGCCTGGCTAATTTTTGTATTTTTAGTAGAGGTGGGATTTTGCCATCTTGCCCAATTGGTCTCCAATTTCTGAGCTCAAGTGATCCACCCACCTCAGCCTCCCAAAGTGTTGGGATTTCAGGTGTGAGCCACCATGCTCAGCCCCAGTTTGCATTTTTAACTCAGATGTTGAGGAATGTTTTGTATAGATGCACTTGGAGTTAACTCATTCTCCTTGCAGAGGGATGTTCCATGGATCTATTTAACCAGAACCTTGTTGATGTAGTAATATTTTGCTGTGAAAAATAATGCTGGAAAAAAATAACCTTGACTGAAATTGACTCAACCAAGGAGAAATGGTGAGATCTCAGCATTTCTTAATAACCAAATTCGGTAGGACAAGTACCAAGGAATGGAATCGACAGGTCAAACTGCCCTTTATATGAGGTTTACCAATTGACACTCAAACCACATGCTTTAAAGCTCATTCCAAGTGTTTACCAAATTATGCTTACATTTCCCTTTGAATAAGGTTAAGCATCTCTTCATGTTTTAGTCAATTTTTGCTCTTCTGGAGCTTTTTAAATCCTTTGCCTATTTTTCGAGAGGCCTTTTCTTAATTGCCAAGTTCTAAGTGTTTTTTTGTTATTGTTAAGATAGGGTCTTGCTGCAACAATCAGGCTGGAGTGCAGTGGCGCAAACATGGCTCACTTGTAGCCTCAAACTGCTGGGCTCAAGTGATTCTCCCCACCTTAGCCTCCTGAGTAACTGGGACAATGGGCGCACACCATCTTGTCCACCCTAAAATTTCTTCAAGGAAATTAACTTAATGTTATTGCAACAACCTCCGTTTCTGCAGTGCAACCTTGTATGGAGTTCCCTACCCTCTCACATATATATATATATATATATTTTTTTTTTGAGACAGAATTTCACTCTTGTTACCCAGGCTGGAGTGCAATGGCGCCATCTCGGCTCACCGCAACCTCCGCCTCCTGGGTTCAGGCAGTTCTCCTGCCTCAGCCTCCTGAGTAGCTGAGATTACAGGCACGCGCCACCATGCCCAG